GAAGTGATGAAAAAAAAGCAAAAAAAAAAAGCGATCCATGCATAGAAAATATAGAACGGCTCAAAGCTCGAGAGTGAACTGTGGAGCGCGAGCAGCTCTCCTTAACAGCGGCAGCGAGTATGTGCGAGAGAGAAAACGCGCGTACACTTATAATAAGCACGTGCACGTAAGAGCTCGGCTCGATTCTCCGCAGTCTCCCTATATGTGCAGGGTATGCACACAAACATCTCGCACACCCACACCTGCACACGCAATTTTATGGTCGTGCGCAGCAGCGCGTATGTGTTGCGGCTGCTCTGATTGCCAACGCTGCACACAGCGCCGGTACACGAGCCGAGGCCAGGCCGTAGTGCGCGAACACAAAGACACTTTCTCACTTCTATTCGCACCTTTGCGCGCAGTAACTCCGAGCCGTATGCGCGCGCGCCACGGCTGTATACCTATATAGCCGTATAGCCCCGGTATATACGTATTCCAAGCAGCAGCAGCAGCGGCGGCGGCGGCGGCGGTGCACACGCGACGTGTCTGCGTTTACACTCCATTATCTTTTCACGATGTCGACTTAGCCGGCGACATCGTCGTCGTCGTCTTGGTCGTTTTGTGCGCCAGGGTTATATAGTCGCGGAGTACGCGAGGGATGAATGAAGTAAGAAAAAAAATGTACGATGCACCTTCGACGAACGATAAAGAAGATACGCGCGTTACGTAGATAGCGCAGCCCCGGCTCAATGCGCGTCGCACGCCACATCCCACCTTCTCTCTGACGTTATATATTATATATAACCGCGCTCTGTGTACCTGCGTGTTTGAGCGACTGCCTCGTGCCCTCTTCCTTATACCGACTCCCTTCCTTTCTCTCTCTCTCTCTCTCTCTCTTCCGAGCGCGCAAAAAAGTGAGGAGCAACGATAAAAGAAATGGGAACATAATTTTTTTAAAGCTCATCGTGCATTTTGTACTATATTATACGAGACAACATTATGTATGCTGCAGGTATAACCCCATACTTGGACGCGCAGCGACTTTGACGACGTTTTATGCGTGCCGAGCTAGTCCTTATACCAAGAACAAGTGAGGCCTCGAATTTAAAGATAATCATTTTCAGCCCAGCGTCGAAGGAGCTAGAGAATCAATCGTTACGAGCATCGGCACCTCAAGATGGATCGATATTTTGGCGATTCTGTATTTTATGTATCCACGTTTTGAACTAATTTAATGAAAAAGGATAGTTCATTTAGAAAAAGACGGGCTGCTTAACAAACAATAAGCGTCAATAAAGTTGAGAAATTATATTTTAAACGAGTAAACACGATCTTTGTTTGAAATATCTGCGTTTTTTTCGTGCAAGCTAAAATTCTCAAACGTTGCCTGTGTTTATAGCGCAAAGCAATTTATTTCTGAATATTTGTCTTGCATGTGAGAAAAAAATTTAATTAATTTAATTAAATCCTGTAATTGAATAACATTTATGATATAATTCGATTGATTTTATTTTTTTATTCGATTGATTCAATTATTTTATTCGATAAATTCTATTATTTTTGTTATCGAAACAACAAAATAATTTGTAATATTTGTAATATATTCTATCGGTGTTATCAAATATTTTATTGATTCTAATGAATATTATGTAAAAATAGTGAATTATATATCTAAAGTAACAATATATTTTATTATTATAATAAAATATTATTGAGAAATGATGGCTATTTTTATAGAAATTAACAATTATTTTATCGCAATGATGAAATTTTGTTTCGATACAAATCAATAATTATTTCAACTTATTAAATATTTAATTAATAAGATGAAATTTTTTGTAAGTTTTAAATGATATTTCATCAATCCCACGAAATACTTCATAATATGAATATAATATTTTATAGAAAAAATCTATTTTTTAATTAAAATGATAATATATTTGTTTGAATTGATCAACTACTTTACTAACTTAAAAAATATTAAAATTTAAATAATTACAAATTAGCTGATATTATGAAGATATTTTTGGGTTAAGGGTAATTGGCTACTGCATCTGAAAGGAGATATGCATATTAATATTGATGAATTGGATTTTCTGAACATGTGTTTTTATAAGTTATTTATTTAACAAATTACACTTATGATGATTGTATTATACATATCGCATTAGCCTACCTAAATTTTACATTCTAGATATTAATTTACATTTTATAACATATGATCGCTCACTCGCACGCTTACTTTGGGTCAAAGAAAGCTTTCTTATATAGTAATCTCAACTTTATTCTGTCACTTGCGGGTACAGGACACGCGCCATCTAGAGTTGAGTTCGTAACTATTATCACTAAGGGTTTGATTAATTTAAAAAAATATTCTATTGAATCAATTATCAAATGGAAATTATACATACATAAAGGAACGAAAACAAATTTCACAAAAAATGCCCAATTTTTCAAATGAATTTTTAATAAAGTACAAAATTATTAATATCTCATCGGTACACATCTTCTATCATTACTAATGATATGATCTGTGGTTGGCTTATAATGCTCAAGATTTTTTTGGTCAATACAGCAATAATCGCTTGTTAGCTCTACTTCATAGGCTGATAAATGCTCGTTATGCAACTTTACAGACATTTTTTTACAAACAAATAAAGTTTTGTTTTGTTGCAAATCAATAATAATGTAGACAATTTTCGCTAGATGTGAATCAACTTCTTCCATATTTATATAAACTACAGAGTCCTTTTTATACAAAGTTCCATTTATTCGAACCCATTTGACAATTATTTTTTCGACATTACCCCATTCGTTCGGAATTTTGTTTTTAAATTGATTATAATCACTCAATTGAATCAACTGGCCGACTTCTGACGATCCATATTCCAATCTTAAATCAAACCCCACATTGCGAAGTAATCTATAAGAAAATTGTAATTGATGTTTTAGTGCTAAGCTGTACTCTGGGTTCAATCTAGAAGTCATAGAATGTGCTACCTCTTTGAAAAATTTGTGCTTTCCTTCAAATCTGATGACTGAAAATTGCTTTAAAGGTCCGAGTTTTTTCATAAACGTGGGGTAATGCGTTAAAATATGGAATTTAGGTTTTAAATCTTCTTTGAAGAACGATTTAAAAAAAGTATGATGCTCATGAATTGCATTTTCTAGCCTTTCGATGATTATATCATTCACCAAAGGTGACAATACAAGACCTATTATTTCTTTAAGAAGAAGATAAAATTTCCACACTGGCTCTTCTTCTTCCACGTCCTTACCTACTAAAATTCCAAAATACTCTACTAAAAATGACATTTCAGAAGCCGACATTATTAAATATTTTTTTTTTACTGAATCAACGGACAAATTTGACATTACATTTTTATCACTCATACAATTTTTGTTTAAATTTGTAATACGTTTATTGATAGTGTCGAGGGTGAAATAATTTTTTTCAATCAAATCATGCAAAATAAAACCCATATCGTACCTGCAAACGCCCTCAAAGAGGTCGTGCATTAAATCTACACTACTATTATCCATAACATGAAAAAAAGGAATTTGATTAAACAAGCAAACTTCTTTAATACCGTGGCTTAAATTTTCCGCGTGGGACTGATAATTATCAATGTTTCTCAGTAATTTACTATCTTCACGCGTCAACTGCTTACGTTGATCAGTGTTAGCCGTACATGTACGGCAGCAGTTTGTCGCTAGAAACGATTTTGAAAAGCCCAATATTGAGTTAGCACCCAAATTATCACTAACTACTTGGAAAACTAAGAAATTTACTTTTACATTATTTACAATCAAACCATTTGTTATTAAGCTCTTTAATTGGTTGACGCAACACCGGAAAATGGGTTCGTTTCCCAATTCTTTGTGATTTAAGTAACGGTGCAATTGAAACATAAGTATATTTTCCAGTTGACTGGAGTATTCTTCGGGTATTCCTAAAATCGACAAATACACTCCGCCAATTTTATGAATAACTTTTCGACTACCTATTGGATTGTTAATTTCAAAGTCGTCGTTGTACAGCATTAGCGGAATAATATTCTCACAGTTTCTTAATTTTTTCAGTTTTAAGTACAACTCGCCTTTAAACAATGAATCGAACTCATCTGAATTTTCTAATCTTTTAATATTGGACAAAATGATATCAAGGACATGAGGTAAATTTAAGAATGCTTGAAGTACATCAGCTATTGGAACTGTTTGTATTTTATCTAATCCTTGAATTTGCTCATTTCTACCTTCTTTATTTCTAAAACGTAAGTATGTGTCAATCGGAAATGGGCGTGATTCAATTAAAGTGCCTTTATCTTTGAAATATTTTAATATTTTGTACTCTGTGTCGAAACTTTTAAAAGAGTTTTGAATAACCGAGATTTCTAAAGTTAATGAACTGTCATTAGCGCGTCTTACTTTGAGCATTTCAAGAGCATTTTCAAAAAACCAAACACAATTTAAAATTGTGGCTAAAGAGTTTTTTCGATTAAGAGTTGGATTAGCAAAAGCTCTAGCTACTATAAAAGCTGCATTATTATGCAAGTGATCTGAAAATTCTGCGAGAGGCATATTTTCAGCTTTTTCGATTAATGCCGTTAACTCATTTGATACAAATTTAACATCAAAGGTGTGATGTTCGCCAACATCATCAATATCAATTTGGGGTTCTACAGTATCATCACATTCATTATCATTAGTGATATCATTCTGAATTTCTGAATCATTATTCAAATTTTTATGAGTGTTTAGATGCTGTTTAAAATGATATACATCACGAGATTTTTGCTTACAAGTGGGGCACGTTATTTCAGTCTTCATTAACTTTCTATGCTTTAATTTTACATGTGGTAGAAACGTTTGTTCATTTTTTAATATGTTGCAAAACGGACACAAAAGCATTTTGAATAATCAATTTTGTTGAATTTTAGACTATGAGAATAAATTAAATAAATTACTTATTATGCTTGACTTTGAAATTTCAAAATAATAAACCAAAAGATATGATTATTATACCAATTTTGAACAAAAAATATCATTTCTCATATTGAATAATTGATTATTCATAAGATGATGAAAATAAATACTATTATCGTAAAATTGCCGTAACTATTTCAATAATACGTTCGATTAATATTAAGTACCCTCTACTTTGCATATGGATGTAGCCTTTTAGCTATCTTTTTTTAAATAATTTAAAAAAGTTTATATTTAAGATTAGTTTAACACACAAACAGAAATGATTATAAATGATAAAAATTCTTAATACTACTAGAATAATCAGTTTCATTTAAAATAGGGTATCTTCTACTCTGGGTATGCTTCAACTATCCTTTTTTTAATAGTTGCAATGGCCTTTTCAGTCGATGAAAACTTTTTATCCCAAACAGTTTCGATATTCAAAACTTTTTGAATTAGAGTATAAATATGTTCACTTTCGTAGGGATATTTCAACAGAAATACGTGGAATAATTTAAAACAAATTATAAATGCATGCAAAGTAGATGGTACTTTATACGTGTAATCATCTATGCAGACATAGTTTTCTTTAATTTCGAGAAGAGTAGGTCCAACGACGATCACGAAGGGTTGAACAGTTGTATTGTGTAGTTTTGCAAAATCCCTTCTTCCTTTTACTATATCAGGCATCAAAGTTCCATCCTATAAAATAATTAATGTTAAATGAAATTGGGCATAATGAATTGTAAAAATAACTTTTAACATATAGTTTTATTACCTTGGCATGGTGAATGATGCTGTTCTTTGAGTCCCCGATAGAAACTTTCCAATTACCCGTTGGAATTATGCATTTATTTTTTGGTGGCAACAAATGGGACAACAGTAATAATTGAACAGCAGTTTTACAATCTGAAAAATGAATCGAACATGAAATTTATCTTTCAACCATTTTCGAATAGTTAAAAGCTAAGATACTGACTGTCTTTATCATTATTAATCAGATTTTTTAAATCACGTCCATCTGTATCTGTTGGCCCAAGTTTCCCTATATCCATCAAAGTTTTAAATATTATTTCCCATAATTTCAAATCGAGCGCATATTTGGATTGATTATTATGAAAAATCTCGTCATAATCTATTTCGACTAATAAATAAGCATTGTTTTGCTTGAGTATGGGGTAATCTGTGAATGATCCTGATGTGTTTATATTGCTACTCTCTTTCATTAATCTTAGTCGGTAATTGGCAGTTTTCTTCCAGTGTTCAATAGCAACTTCTTCAATTGGGAAGGCATGATTTTCTTTTAACCACTGCAAACTTGTCTCGATGTCGTCATCTGCAAAATCAAAAATTCAAAATTAATATAAAATCATAAAATCAATGTAAAATTATAAAAGCATTACTTTTTTCACATTCTGGTAAATCATGTATTCGCATTAAAGCCTCTTTTGGTGGATTATTTTCATCTACTTTATCATCTTCATGATTGTTTTTTTTCCGTGACGATTTCAAATTATTATATTTGGTTGATAATTTTCCTCTACAACCTTTTGACTTGTTATCCAATGAGTCTTTTTTTGGTATTGGCCCAATGTAGTATGTACTTATAACTTCTGATTCAAAAGCTTCTACTATGTATTCAGCCAAAGAATGAAAAATAGTGTAAGGAATTTTTTCTTGTTTTGAACAATCCTCATCACTTTCTGTGATATCAAGTAATTTGTTGATAACAATATCAACGAGCTTGTTTTGCAAATTAGGTTTTAAATCTTTTTTTTTATTGTACTGAGAAATTATATTCCTGCCTTCAGATGAATCTTCAAGAATTTGTTTAATATCTTTAAATTCATTCAAAATGATTTGGATATCTTGATACCTCTGATTTTTTTGAATTTCTAAACGAGGTACTTTTTCTGGTACATTTGAAACCTCTTCCAAAATTTTTCTCTTTTTGCCGGATTGAGATGCTTCTCCAAACTCACAACCATAATCTTCTGAATATTTTTCAATGAAAGTAACTTGATCTCCTATTATAGTAATTAGTTTTTCCAAATAATTTTGACTCAGTTTTTTAAAAACGTCTTCAGTAATTTTATTACCTGAAATAAATGTATAAATTATTATTCAAAATGCACACTTTTAAATTTGTGTAAATTGTCAGTATTTAATAAACCAAGTTTAGCTCTCATTACAAAAAACTATGTACATAGCTGATTTTCTGACAAATAGAATTTGGTAGAACTTTTAACATCATCTAAAACCCTTTCAAGAGGTCCAATATTATACTTTTTAAATACAAACTCTAAAGGACACATGATTCACACAATTTATTGAAGGTGATAAGCAACAACAAATTTTACCCGTTAAAATTTGAATTTAGATTTTTGAAGAAGATTTGGATTTTCACATAGTAAATACACTGAAAAGTACCTTCATTAATATAAAGAATTTGTATTTAATTTGTATTTAATTTTAATTAAACGACTTGAGAATGCGAGTTGATAGGTTACTAAAGTTTGTAATCAAGATCCATGAACAAACTCTTTACACTTGTGAGATTTCACCAAAAAGTACCTTCATTAATGAAAAAAAATTGTCCTGACTTAATAATAAACCACACCAAACTTTCAAAATGACATGTGGTTTCAAAATGAAAAAGCTTTCTATAAATGTTTCAGTTTCATGCGTTGAAGATGGACCATGCGTACTTCTACATACTGCGCTTCCCCTCTGCTTTATCTAAATTATGTACTGCTAAATTAACTTAAATTCATGCAGAACAACTCAACTTAAGACTTTCTTAAAGCATGTAAGGGTATAGGTGATCAAGGTGTACAATAATTTTAAAAGCAACACTCATACTACACATTTTGATCACTTGCCTTAAACGACTTGAGAATGTGAGTTGATAGGTTACCAGAGTTTGGAATCAAGATTGATGAACAAACTCTTTACACTTGTGAGATTACACACTAAAAAGTACCTTCATTAATGTAAAAAAATTGTCCAGACTTAATAATAAACCACACCAAACTTTCAAAATGACATGTGGTTTCAAAATGAAAAAGCTTTCTATAAATGTTTGAGTTTCATGCGTTGAAGATGGACCATGCGTACTTCTACATACTGCGCTTCCCCTCTGCTTTATCTAAATTATGTACTGCTAAATTAACTTAAATTCATGGAGAACAACTCAACTTAGGACTTTCTTAAAGAATGTGAGGGTATAGGTGATCAAGGTGTATAATAATTTTAAAAGCAACACTCATACTACACATTTTGATCACTTGCCTTAAACGACTTGAGAATGTGAATTGAGCATAGAAGGGAGAAATTGAATAAAAGCATGTCTGTAAGCAAAACCTATGAACTTCCATCAATGCGCACTAGTCAACAATTTTTATAAATCTGTTTAATGGCATTGCACATTATTTGTAGGTTACAAGAGTTCATTATCAAGATTAAGTCAACTATCAATAGGAATGAGATTACTTTTCAGTGTGTATAACTAACAAATTACTAAAATATTCACTTCAAAGTTAAATCCGAAAATGAAAATTCAATTTTCAACTTTTTTTTGCAATCTAAACAGTTCACACAAAATACTAAACATTTGAAAACTAACATTCGAATATTAACATTTGAACCAACACTAGAATTCATCAAGGTTATACTTACTTGAACTGTACTTTTACACTACCATGTTAATTAAACAAACTCAAAAATATAATTATATTAATTCATTTGTTGACCTAATCGTGAAGTTTATAAAGAAAAAGAAACTACTTACGTTGGAATATATCTATGTATTCGGCTAAACCCCAGTTGGTTAGCTTTGCTGCCACAGTTTCATCAGCCATGGCTTCTCGATTCTCGTCTCGATTGCAAATGTTCAAAACAAAGAGTGCACGAACGAAGTTAACATTTAGCAGGAAACGTTTCTCGGAAAAAAGTATATTCGAGATTTCGCGGCTTGTAACGGAAATAGGCAGGCGCGAATGAGAACATGCTACTAGTTGACTCGTTTTTCTGTCTTTCTCGCACTCACACGGTACACATACGTCGTTCATAATCAGTACATCCGATTTTTTCTATTAAATCATGATGTTTTTTTCAATACATTGATGCATAATTTAATAAAGCGAGATATTATTTAACTGACTAAATAAGTATTTTATCGACCCAATTTAATATTATTGCGCTATAAGGAGTTGTATCTTTGTTTAAACTTGTGGATTTCCCTTTATATATGTAATCAAATTGATATAATATTTCATTACATTTATAGTATTAAATTTTAAGAATATATAGTATCTTGTTAGTTTCATAAAATAATTTATTGGAATATTCTATAAATTCAATGATATTGATTTCATTGATTCGAGAATTCAAATAATCTTTTGCATGTGATATTTTCATTGAATCAATCAAATATTTTATTGAGGATATTGCATTGACTCTATTATTTTTATTACATTGAATCAATGATTATCACTTTTGGCTAAATAAAATATTTCATTGATTCAATTAAATATATTTTAGCAATGAGTGGTGGGTTGATTGTTTCAACGAATGCATTTTCCTCTCACATATTTAATCAAATTAATATAATATTTCATCAAAAAAATAAAATATTCTATTGGTTTGATGAAATATTTTAATGGAATATATTTTTTTAATTTGATGAAATTAATTTCATTGAATTAATGTTTTGAATAATTATTTGTATTTGATAATTTATAGATTTAATCAAATATTCAATTGACTTGTAAATCAATAAAATATTTAATTAATTTTAATCATATTTTATAACTTCTATACTTTTTATAATAAAATCAATTAGGTTTAATAAATTTAACGAAATTTTATTAAACTAATTACATGTTTCTTTGATTCAATGAAATTTTTTTCTCAGTGCACGCGCGCGAGTATCCGATCGAATCTAATAATTCATCAGTTGTGCGAATGAACAACAGGAATCTAATTAATTTTCCATTTCTATGTTGAACATGCCGTACATGTCATTTCGAAGCATTCAGCATCGCAATTGAATAACGAAATCTGAAAAAAAATTGTTTTTACCGCCTGCCGCGACTAATATCGTCTAATAAGGAAAGCGCGCAAAATTAAAAATCTGCCTCATTGTGAAATCTTTTTGTGTGTGTACAGTGTGCAGCGTGTACGCGTGTCGGCCGCGAGGGTCCCGGGTCACGCAGTTGAATCTCACGTTAATTAAATGCATTACTTAATCACCTTAACAGTACATAATTAACCTTTATTCTTTTCTCCCAGCGCTCGCTGTACACACACATGCGCATGCACACATTTGTATTATTACATTAGGCGCGACTGCGAGCGTGCACTGCTCGAGAGCCGCGTACAAGTATAATATGAATACGCGAGCGCATTTGCGAGACTCGCGCGCACTTGAAAATCTGCGGCCGCTCGCGAGAGCGCAATGCCTCAAGGCGCTTTCGCGAAGCTGCAGCCGAGTGTAAGTATATATATGAATCGCGCGAGCAGCAGAGAAAGAGAGGAATAGCTTCGCTGCGGCGTATTTGAATAATAACGCCGCGCGAGCAACATCCAGTTGTCTTGAATGATTTCTCGAGCCAGAAAAAAGTACAACTTTTCTCTCTCTCTCTGTTCTCTTATTCTTCGTCGCTCATTTTCTCTCCACGTACTGCACTGCATCCTTAACGTTCTAACAGCTCACATACGCGTGCCCGTATAAGCTATATAGAAGCATGCTTCTCTTTTTGTTACTTCCTGCGAATTTCCGACGATTTTCCCCACTTGGAGCGAGGCACGTATCCGTGCAAAAATTCCGTAAGCGTATATAGAGAGCTAAGTAGAGCTCGCAATTGAAAATCGCAGTAATTTTGCCATCGAGCCTTTGGACGATAGATATCCTCCCGTTCTAAATACCAGATCAATCGTATAAATTTTCCCGCGCACGATCCATAGCTATATAATATACTATATATGTGGGGCAGTCGCATAGGGAGTAGATAGCGACACACACAGAGGTACGAGAGTCAAGGCGGTGGATCTCTTCGTTCTCTCTCTCTGTCTCTCGCGATTATGATCAAAGCGAAGAAAGGAGGTATAGAGGCAGCTGCAGGGAGGAGAGTAAGCGAGAGAGAAAGAGGAAACGCCAAAGATAGAGCGTAAATCGTTTCAGAGTGCTGTGGCAGCTATATACATCCGCTGGCGCTGCTAAATCTTCGCTCGTGTCTATATAACGGATTGCAATAATTAGACGCTATTCTCTCTTTCGTGTGCGATTGCTCTGAGCATTTATATATATATAAGCTTTCTTCTCTCGCTCTCTCTCTCTCGCTCAATGTCTCTTAGTCCTATATGTCTAGCATTTACACGCATGAAAGGACTCGTAAGCGCATTCCTCGCTTCCTTCCTGTGTCTCTCCCTTCGATTGTATTATTTTGTCTGCGCTTTGAGAAGATCGAGCAAAAATCCTTGTGTTTTAAAGGCGAGCAGTTTTCCTTTGCGCTCGCATATACACACCATTAGCCTACATAATCGCGAGCGCGGCGTGCGCGCAAACAATGGAATTAATTGTATTATGCCATATACTCACGCCGCTAATCGCGAGAACCCGCAGTGTGTACGTTATAGTGTGTGCGCGCTAGACTCCGGTACTATGCTGCCTGCAACGGTGAAAAAGAACTCGAATGGGATCTGTATACCTACCTACCTACCTACCTAACTGCCGAGCGCAGCATAGAAATGCCAAGATAAGCGACGCTTCTGACCTTTCGAGATATGCCATGAGAGAGCTATGACATTAGAATATATACAGCTGATTAGTATTATAACTGCAATGCGTTGCTGCTCGCGTTTTAAGCGAAATAGCTGTTGTTTGTCTCGGGACCCGGAATGCAGCAGCAGCAGCCAACTGCGAATTAAACGTTATTTCGCGAGGCAATTTAAATGCAATTGGGATATAATTTCTCGCAACTTTCCTCGCGCGCGCTGATTTATTTGATGTTTACGAAAAAAAAGAGGTCCGGATCCTCACGCAGTGGCGACGACGACGGTAGTCTCGAAGGAGGATAGGAGCAGCACAAGCTCGGCGCCCGAGCGGATTTATAAAATTTTAATCATCTACTTTTCGTAAAACTTTCGCCCAGCGAATTCCATCGAGCTGCAGTAATTTAACATATAACGAGAGACATTGCGCGGACGGACGGGCGTGGCGGGGAGAGAAGAGAAAAACTCGTTAAAGTTCTACTTAACAGCGGCTTTGCTTTTCTTTTTTAATATCGCTCGAAATTAATATCTCATTGAGTTTTATTTCACCAATGTCTTGGGCTCGTCACTTTGTAATTGTGTCTCTCGCTCAACTCTCGTTTGTAGTCCATTGTCGTGGTCGTTGTCCAAACACTTGGTTTCGTCTCTGTCCTTTGTTGCAGATTAAATCTCGCTACATTAATAAAAAAAGCATAATTTTCCACGCAAAGTTCGTGTCGCGTGCAGGAATACAGCTACTACTACCGACCGGCATGTAAAATCGCGCGGCGACTGCATTGCAGCGAAAGTTAAGAATAGCCTAAAAAAGTCATAATTTACTTTCGCAGCAGTCTTAATAATTTAATTGCGCGAGCAAAGCGTGGCATGTCTGAGTCCGTCCGTCCTCTCAATGGCATCTCATGGTTTGCAGTTCTTATACTTATCCTTTTCTGTGTGCAGGCTGCAGCAGTGGCGCTCACCCGACGCAGACGACGCGCCCCCTCTCGCTCTACGCTGCTTTTTCCTCTTTCTCTCTCTCTCTCTCTCTCTCTCTCTTTCAACTTTTCGTGCGCGTAAGGGGCACACGCGCGCATCGACGTAAAGGTAAAGTGAAAACTTAATGGTCGCTAGAGGGAAGCTCTCACTCTTTCTTTCTTTCTCTCTCGTTCTCTCGTTTTCTCTCTGTGCGTGTGTACGCGTTGGGCACCCCGTATACTGCCGAGCTGCTATCCCCGAGTCCTCCTCCTCCCTCCTTAACCGTATATTTAAGACGTTTAAAGCATTTCGAACCGTGAAAATAGCCTGATTTGCATACATACAGCTTTAGAATTCATGAAAAATTCATGGAGTAAGTGGAGGTGGTACTGCTGCTCTATACCTAGAATTATACCAGCCGCTCTGCACTAACACTAGCACCACTAGGGCACTCTCACCTACTACTACTATTACTATCTGCACTGCCGCCGTCGTTGCCGCGCACACACACACACACAGAGCGTCGCAATTTTTTGTCCTTCTAGTCGCGTCTACACCAATGTCACCTTTTTCTCCCTCTCAAACACGTACACACACACATACACACACATGTACAGGCACACTCGAGCTTACATATACAGACTTCCTTTCTCGCAGCTAGATCCTCTTTTTGCCATTATCAATTTCTTATTATTATGCTTCTCCATTCGAGACCTGTATGTGCAGTTGGCATATATAGATACTCGCACTTTTACGCCTCTGCAGACTGCCGCCGAGTGCACGACTACGCGGAGCCGTGGCAAGGCGAGGGGAGGCGAACTCGGTGTACAAATAAACAGCCAATGTACGTGTGTGTCCGCCTAGGTCGTATAGATATAAATGCATTCAGCAGTCGAGCTGCACACGTACGTATAACGTATATGCCAGAGGAGCAACTCGCGCATGCTTTATACATACACATGCAGACATAAGTGGAAATGGCACTTTTTTTTCACTCTCTGGCTCTCACTTTTACGACGCGAGATCGACTCGTGTGTGTGAGTAGGTGCATGAACAGGGTGTGTGAGCGTACGTAAGTGTGTGCAGTCGCTAGCAGTGCCGGAATATGTAAGAAAACTAGTGCATTATGTACGAATGAGGGACAAAGAAGGGAGTAAAAAAGAGCGAGAGAGGAGAAAGAAGGGAATGAA